GCATTCCCGATGGAAACAGACCGGAATAATTAAACCATCAACTTGTTCGATGTTTCAGGACAATTTATAAATACTCCTGTATTTTTAACTATAACGAAAGGGCTAAAAGATACTGATTTATACGTGGAATGAAATGGAGGATCAATCATACATAAAAGATTCAGGAAGCTTCCCAGAAACCGACCAAGCTCTGCAGTGCTCCTCGATGTGGATGTAGAAAATAGAATTAAAATATAGAACTTGAACTCAGCTCTCAGGCGAAGATATCAAAGAGTGTTTCACCAATCGATCGGATGAAAGGAGGAAAAGGGAACGTCCTGGTTCAAAAAAGAAGATCTTATGTGACACATGCATCAAGTTCTTCAGTAACTGTCGAATCTTCGCGTTTCTTCTCGACACTTTAATATGGACCTAGAAGATAGAGCGATAGAGTTAAAAACCTTGAATTCAGGTCTCAGTTGAAGGTATCAAAGAGTGATTCTTCAATCGGTAAGATGAACGGGGGAACAGGGGACGTCCTGGTTCCAATAAAAGAAGATCTTATGTGACACATGCATCAAGTTCTTTAGGAACTGTCGAATTCCCGCGTTTCTTTTTGACACTTTAATATGGATCTAGAGAATAGAGCGAAAGAGTTATAAAACTTGAATTCAGGTCTCAGTCGAAGGTATCAAAGAGTGATTCTTCAATCGGTAAGATAAAAGGAGGAATAGGAAACGTTCTGGTTGCAGAAATGGAGAACTGGTTTCGTGAGAAAAATGTACCAGGCTTTTCAGTAACTGTCGAATCCCTTTTCCTCTGGTATTAATATTGGCAAACGCAATATGTGTAGATCGCACGTGTCAGCAGCTCGTAAATAGAATTGCTTATAGGTGTACGTTGGACACGTGTGGTACCTGGCTCGAAGAGCATAAATCAGTGATACGTGTGTTTTGCGGCATTGTGTGGCCATCTTTTAGCTAAATATTCGGAACTAGGCCAAACTGGGAACATTCGCCTACTACATTCTGGCTGTTCGTGTGGTTCAAATTCTTTGAATAATATTTTTCTCTCTTACGTGTTTTGGAAATTTTGGAAATACCTCGTTCATCTTCGCCATTGTTGTCCAAGCTGATAAGTTTCATCTTCGAATACTTCCTTGTCACCTAAATATTTATTATAATTTTGTACATGGACTGATAGACTCTATCTTATAATAGTTACATTCACATTTGATTCTCTTGGTTAGAATAAAATTTTAATTAGCCTAGTCCAGACGTAACTAAAGGTACAGTGGTCATAAAATGAGTTGACTGCAGAGTATACAAATGTCTCGGCTACTGAAACAGCAGTTTCAGATATTTTGAGGAGATAAAGAACTCAAACGTCAATCAACACGATGTCAATTCGAAATGCATTTTTACAGAGTATTGCAAATAAAATGTTAAATGGAATATAAGTCCTTTTAAATATTTAAGACATTGATTAGGATCTACCATTATTAAATTGCTGTTTCAATTAAATACATACATTTGCAAACAGAAGCCCATCCTAAGTGCTGACATCAATGGTGCCATTTTGGCCATGAATCGAGACCACCATTAAACACAATAATTTTACGACCTCACTATATCACTTAAATCAACTATATATACTCCACTGACCATATGGAATAGCTTCTTCCGCTGTCGAGCAGTGCTAACAATGATTTACGAAAATTTCTTTCGAGCATCCGAAATATTAAATGGATATAGCGACAGCAAATTGGTAGTAAATATACCAAGTTAAAATAAAAAATAAATCCATAATTATTTCTCATCTCGCTGCTTTAAAAACAACTAAACATACTCACAATTACAGCAAGTCTTAAGACCATCGACATTAATGGCGTCATTTTGGACCGTCGACAGTTACAGTAAATTTACGATTTCTGTATATCACTCCAATCGATTGTATATACCTGAGATTTTCCACTCGAAGAATCACGATTAATTTACACGGTCCGTGACCGGTTGTTCCGCGAAGTACTGTTGGAAATTCGCGCGCGATCAGAATAGAGCGAGACTCTTGCTCAGCTATGTCCTATAAATACTGGTTTATTGCTAACACGTGGCATCAGCGTAGATGCATAAATTGTGCTTCGTTATGGAAGTTTCAGCTTGTGGATCGTGGACGATGAAACGCGCGGGCAAACGAAGTTTATTTGAAAACTGCCCTGGTACTTCGTTCCGAGAGTCCCTTTGAAGTTCCCAATACGTGTTACCACTTTACATTCCGGCCATCTAATTA